TTTTGTGTGTGTGTTTGTGTGTGTGTGTGTGTGTGTGTGTGTGTGTGTGTGTGTGTGCCCTTGATACAGGCGTGTTTGTCTGTTGTGCCACGACATCATTCCCCTGACACTATCGGGCCGAACAAAACGCCTGTATCAACGGACACTATTCATTCTCGACAGAGGGCGTTTTGTTCAGCCCTATAGGCCGTTGCTTTTCCTTTTTTTTTTCCTTATTTTTTTTTGTCTTATTTTGGAAACGGTTACACATGCACAAAAGACTAAAATATGGGGGTGTATCTTTCCATCTTGTAGCGGAAGATTCACTCTCATTTTGCACATTTGGAGAGTGGTGGAGCGAGGGCCATACAACGGTAGCCGGGGGCCTCCCTCCACCACTCTCCAAATGTGCAAAAAAAAAGTGAATCTTCCGCTAGAACATGGAAAGATACACCGCCATATTTTTTGTCTTTTGTGCATGAGTAGTGGAGCGAGGCCCTTATATCGCACCCGACTACAGCTGGACTTGCAGCCCTCATGTGACAGAGGGCCTCGCTGCACTACTCTCGAAATGTGCAAAACGAGAGTGAATCTTCCACTAGAATATGGAAAGATACACCGCCGTGATTTTTGTCTGTTGTGCATCTCGAGAGTAGTGCATCGAGGCCCAAAGGCTCAACGGATTCTGGTGGCAGGTTCGACTACTCTCCAATTTGTGCAAAATTAGAATGAATCTTTCACTAGAACATGGAAAGATACATGTTGGTTTTCAACTTGTCACGGACATTCTCTTTCTCTTTTTTTTTCTTTTTTTTTTAGCGAAAGCACCAAGGAGACACAACTGTCAGTATACGTGGAATGAGACAAAAGCAAGGGTTCCACAGATGCCTCCTCATCATGACCGTATTGGACCTCTGAAAGGGCTCAGATACACTGAAGATAGTATGGAGTTGTGTACAGCGAACATGACGACACAAGTTTTGGGGCGGCGCGGCCCTGAAAAAAATATGTGCGGGCAATGTCCTAATTTTGGCTGGGCATGGGAACTTCCATTCACGCCCTCCCCAACTTTTTTTTTTTTTTGGCTGACCCCGAATTTTACCCATGCGGCGCACAGGGTGCGGGCGCCAGGTGCGCAACGCGCAGTGCGTCGCACGTGCGCAAGTGGCGCGCACGGGATGCGCCGCAAGTATGGTAATTTCTCATCCCAGTCATCCTGGTTGGGCTTGATGTAACACCTCAGCAGATGCTGCACCACACGGTTCATCTGTTCAGCCTGCCCATTTGCTTCGGGATGATTCCCAGAAGTCATCTGAAGCTGGCTGCCCATCTGTTCAGCGGCCTTCTTCCACATCTCACTTGTGAAACGCACATCTCTATCACTAACGAGTGTCTTTGGCAGTCCAAAGTCACGCACCCAGTTGTCCATGAACAACTTAATGACGTGCTCAGTCCTGGCAGTCTCCGGCATGGCAAT